TAATTTAGTTCTAAAGAAATGAAATGACACTCGCGCCCATCTCTCGTTCAAGTCGAAGAAAATGTTGGATGCAATTTTGAAAGTTCTGTGATAGAAATTACATTATTACTCACTGTTCCTGGTTTTCATCTCTATTTTAGTAATGTTACAAAAGTTTTGCAACTATAACTAATTTTTTAGATATAAAGTTTGCTGAGAAATATTTATGTTCCTTTGTTATTGCATGACTTGCAACAATGAATTTTTCAGTAATCGATAATTTGTTTAAATTAAAATTCAAAAACTGATTACACCATTCAATTCCGAGGGAAAAAATACAAAAAAAACTGTCTCATTGTTTGACCCAAAACTTTATTTTTGTACAGTATTGCTACAAACATCTAAGTCGAATTACAAATGCACAAATGATAAATTATCTCCGGATGATTTGAGTTTACAGCGATACAAAGTATTAGAGGTGTTTTAAAATCTTATGAGCTTTGACCTTCATATGCGCAGAAACATAATTCCGACCGTCGCGTCGCCTAAATTATTCTACGTCCTAAAAACATTACACCTATTATGCACAGTCTCTCTCGAGCTCTCTTAACGTAAACAAGCCTTTGATCCGATTACAAATATGATAATAAAATGCCCTATTCTTTATTATTTTAATTTAAGCAATAAAAATATATATAATGAACGTTCGCCAGTTGACTTTATTGATGCCCGAGCGCCTTAGTTCATCTCTGGTTGTAACGAGGCACGTGGTCTAATTGTGAGTCAATGTTTTCACAACGTGCTTATTAGAAGAATTATGCGGATATGCCACGCCTTTCGCGCATTTCGCGGCTCGTGAGATTTTGAAACTACTCTACCACAAATTACTTTTCCGGTTTTTATGTTCCAATAAATTGTCTATTGAAGATTAGTTAAGTCATGGTCCTTTTTTAAATGTACCTTCTTATTTTATACAATTTTATCACATCAATCTACCTACATCCGCCGTTTTACATATAACGAAATTTTCTAGATATTTCTTTTTCTTTTATTGTATCCATTCAATTTGTTTATACTGAACATATGAAAGGTTACACTGAACAATTTTTAAACGATTGTTACAATTTTTTCATAAATGTCGTATTTCTTCTATAAATAATGGACATTTCGCCCTATTTCTTAAATTTTACAAACGCACAATAAGTGAGTTTTATGGTACCTATTTCATCAATTTTTATACAAATTATACAAATATTTTGTAAACAATTATTCAATTTATATAATGAAAATCTGGGCTGAAGAATACTCATGCAGTAGGGTCAAAAATGCATGAGCGAGAATAATAATACAATAATTTTGTTGGTCCTGCAAGTTATTAATCACTTATGGAGTATTTCAATTTCTTACAAATAAAATTACCCGCTGAATTGGAAAATGCATCGCTACTTGTCAGAAGGCAAATGTTTATGCACTGGTACTCCACGCCTTACAATAAATTTTAAGACATATTTACAAACAGATTGAAAATATATTGATTAATAGAGGAAATGATGCCGAGACACCATGTTCATCAGATCTTAATCCATGTATTTTCTTTTTGTGGATTGTGTTAAAAGCTTGAGTATGTTCTACTTCAGTCACGTCAAAAAATGAGTTATGGGATCACAAAACAATGCGTATTGCATTCTAAAGATATGAATAAGTACCAGCTAAATTTCTTCTTATAGAGCACCCTGTATATTTATAACAAGCTTTTCTTAGGATTACTTAGATATAAGGTTTGTCTATTTCTAATATTATTGGGGGTATGGCCATAAAAATGTGTATAAGTGTAATCTGTTAGAAAGATAATATTAATGATATAGGTATCTATCTATTTAAGTTAAGATTAAGGTTTATGTAACATATAGATACTGTGATACTGATTTTATTAGCACAGTGCAATTGAAAAAAATGTGTTGAAGCATCATAGGCGCTAAGTGTCATTTTTCATGATACTGAGTTCGTACAATAGAGTGCTAAATATATACATGTTTTTCATGTGTTTCACTTAAAGTCGGAACACCTCCGTATGGCGATGGGGTTGACCGATTTCCAAAATTCTTTTTTTTATGTGGTAGTACTCAAAAAGGCCTACTTTTTGATATTATATTTTTCGACATGTGATCTTTTCTTCGGCCTACTATCATTAAGAAAAGACCCTACTACCACATAAAAAAAAGAATTTTGGAAATCGGCCAAAAGCATCCTAAATACGGAGGTGTTCCGACTTTAAGTATATTCAAGTCATGTGGTAATACTTAAACATTCTAATTTTCCTATTAAATAATAAATATCACAAAGTGTTAAGTGTCAGGATTTGTACTTTTGCTGAAAAACTTAATCTAGGAACTTTATTTACAAATAACATATTGCTATATTAGGATTAAAAGTGTTACTTTTGTGGCGAGCAAATTTTGTATTTGCGAGGCGAAGTGTAGCTTAGCCGAGCGGATGCAAAATTGCCAGACAAAAAAGGCACTTTTAATCCGAATAAATCATGCTATTTTTTCTCCAACCGAAATCCCCCATTCACTTACTTTGTCAAATATTAGTCGCCATATTGCTAATTGTGGTTCAATTTGCTGAAAACTCTGTAAAATGGAATCTAATGAAGATTTAGGTGTGCCTGAGATACTGGAGTGTGCGAAAGAAGTATCTTTGAATCTTCTCCCAAAGAAATATCGAGAAATTCATGAATGTGTTTACCAACGTTTTATGGATTGGTGCAAAGAAAAAACATTAAGGTTGTATTCAGAAGATGTATTGGTGGTGTATTTCTCAAACTTAGTAAATAGTAAATAGTCAACGTTGGATATAACAATATTGATATTGATATAAGCAAATATTCAAAGTACGTGCTTTTCTCAAGAGACAAAATGAGGGATATGTATGTATCGAAAAAATTGCGAGTATTTACAAAGGAGCAAATTGATTGCTTTTTGACTAGTGCACCTGATTTAATGATGAAGGAAAACGCTTTAAAAATAAAAGAACATTTTAAAAAAGGCTTCTTTATGGGTCAACCTAATATTGGGGATTGCAGGTACATGCCGTTCTGATGAATTAGTCAATTAAACAGTAATTGATAATGTTGAAGATGTGAAATCTGCCTTAATTATAAAAATGCCCTATACCAAAACCAAGAGATCACGTTCTTTTACTGTGCTGGAAGTTTTTATGGAAAATATGTTGCTTTACGTCCTCCCGGATTGGTAGAACGTCGATTATTTCTCATATATGCTAGTGCAAGTGTCATCGAATGGTGGTCGGTATTCATAAAATCAGTGCCGTCTCGCAAGAAGAGGCAAAATTTTTGAAGTTGGACAACTGAAAAGAGTACAGTGGACACACATTACGATGAACGTCTGCTACCCTTTTAGTTGACAGCGGTGGTCACCTCATTAGTCTCAAAAGACTCCGTGTCTTTTGGATGGAGATCGAGCACTGTGGCGGAAGGCTACATTGAAAACTCACTTTTGAATAATGAAAATATTGCGAAAAGAATACTGAAAGTTGATAGTAATGATAAATCAAGCACCGTTGTCATTTCTGATTTAACATCTGAAAATAATATAACTATTAATGAAAACGTGTTGGACTGCTTTGAGAATTGCTTCAAGAATGAGAGTAGTGCCAGTTTCATTGGTTTATTTAATACTTGTTCAAATTGTGTATTTAGTATCAATGTGGATAAACAAAAATTATTGTAAATATTGTTGAATAAGCTTTTATAAATTAAAACTTGATTAACAATTTTAATTTAAGGGTTAAAAGTATCAATTTTAGCTCCTAGGATTAAAAGTGTGAATACTTTTGTTGCTAAGATACCTTTTTTTTCTCAGTAAGGAAAATGTCAAACTAAGAGACATCTGACAATCAAAAAATGTCATAGTATTGTGAAAAATGTTTTTTTGTATGTAAAGAAAAATAGAAAAGATGAACATACAATATTCTAAAAGAAACTTATATTTCATAAGGCCCTATGACATCTTTATGACAAAATATAGATATCTTATTTTTCTATCCTGGGCAGCATTGTTGTTTACTTCCATTTAGAAGCTATATTCATATACAGAATAATGGCTTTTATTTAAAATATATTTTTTTGACCACAAAAATTTTATACTATTTTAGTCAAATAACTCAGAAATCACTTTTTGACATTTAGTCCCTTTGATATTCCAAAGCTTGAATTATAGAAATACTAATTAAATAATTAGCAATAAAAACGTACCTCATTTCCTTCAGAATTTAGGACATGTTTTTCGTTAGTGGGTTTAATCGACATGTTTGTATCATCATTTTGTGCAGAAATTACTGGAGAAGATTCATCATCTTCTAAATCCATTAAGTCATTACCATTATTTGTCAGCTGTTCAATTTTGGTACCTAGATAATTTATGAAGAAAGTTATAACAATTGTTTTGGTTCTGACACTGAACAGCTTTAGACTGATTCGAACTAGTTTCTCAACTGTATTTTAAGTCTATAAATGAAGTGGACAACTTATGAAAATCGATCCAGAACTCTTTGTTATCGGAACCAAAACAAGTCTAATTGTAATATTATGCAAGTGATACAAATTAGATAGGATTTCAGCGATTTTAATGTTTACGTTAGTTGTTTATGTTTTATAGTGATTTTAATTATAAAAGTGACTCAGGTAGTAGTTATATGATTTTCTATTTACTTGTTTAGATTAGAGGTATCACTCAATTAAATAAAACAAACAATCACAAAAACACACTAATATACAGGGTGTCCCATAAGCACAAAATCAAAAAGGTACTGCGACGTTCTTTGGCTCAAAAGAAGACGATTTGACCTAACTTCTATTAAGAAAAAATGCCTGGCTCCTCTGCTATTGACTGTCAAAGTTCTTGAAAGAAAATATGTTTTTTGTAATATCTGGAGAATGTCAAGATGGATTTTAATGAAACTTGCTGTGGACTTGTTCCCAAGTAAAACTCATGTTTCGATAAAGCAACCGCATCCATCTGCCTCGGGCTAGTGGTAAATTTTTGAGCGTCTTGGTACAAGAATTATCAGAACTTTTTATTTGGTCGCTGGAATTAATTCATTTTATTTTTATTGACGCATCAAACCTTTTTCGAGATTTTCGTGCTCTTGGTAAAATCTTGTAGCATTCATAGTTTTTACGCAAATTTTTTTTTTCAATTTTAGACAATCATTATCACTACAACTCAAGTACAACAACTACTCGCTACAATTACTACTATCGTAGTAAGCGATGATGTCATTTTATAATAAATGAAGAGATGACCGACTGATCAAAGTCTTAGGGTTTTGCGAAGACAACTTGGGTGGGAGTGTACGATGTACGCGGCGCGATACCCAAATCGACAGGTTCCAGATTACCGATTTACATGGATTGAAAAGAGTTTGCGGGAGGCTGGGCAATTTGGCGTTCGAGCCGTTGACCGTGTGGGTTGTCCTCAAGTACGAAATGCAGCCGTTGAGGGAGACGTTTTAAATAGGGTAGCTGGAGATCCAAATATCAGTACTCGCCGTCTGACAGCGGAATTTGACATACCAAAAAGTACAATTAATCGCATCATAAGACAGCAGCTCCTCCATCCTTATCATGCGACGTCTATTTAGGACACCATTTGGAGAGTGCAAATGTAACTGCATATTTAAATAATACTTTTCCCCCAAGTCCCCCGACTTAACGCTATTAGATTTTTTTCTATGGGGAGCCTCGAATAATAAAGTTTACCCTACTCCTGTGGAATCCCAGGAAGAATTATTGAGTAGGATTCAAAACGAGGTGGACGTAATACGGAATGATCCAAAAATTTTGAGAAGGGCTCAATTCAATTTCCATCAAAGGATCCAGCTATGCGTCCTAGAAAATGGGGGGCACATCGAACATGTCTTGTAATTCCATCATCAACTATCGTATCTATGTAATTATCATCCAGTTTCGATAAAGAGAATTGTGTCTTTCTTAAAAGTACGTCTTTACATTTTTTGAGTGTTAACAAAAAATATATCTAATGAAGTAAAATGATATTCAATCGCATTGCAACAGACTTTAAAACTGTAACCATTTTACTCTCAATATTGATATCCTAGGTAAAAGAATTGGCAATTATTATTAGATAAAGCTGCTTCTTGTAAAAGGGCAAATTTACTGCGATACATCTAAAATTGTTAAGTCGCAACAAAACAGAAAACATTTTTTTGCGTAAAAACTATGAATGCTACAAGATTTTACCAAGATACTTACTACAATAGTAGTGATTGTAGTGAGTATTTGTTGTACTTGAGTAGTAGTGATAATGATTGTCTAAAATTGAAAACATTTTTTTACGTAAAAACTATGAATGCTACAAGATTTTACCAAGAGCACGAAAATCTCTAAAAAAAGACTGATGCATCAATAAAAATAAAATGAATTGATTCCAGTGACCAAATAAAAAGTTCTGGTAATTCTTGTACCACGACACTCAAGAATTTACCGCTAGCCCAAGGCGGATGGACGCGGTTGCTTCATGAAAACATGAGTCTTACTTAGGAACAAGTCCACAGCAGGTTTCATTAAAATATATCTTAACATTCTCCAGATATTACAAAAAACAATTTTTTTTTTCAAGAACTTTGACAGTCAATAGCAGAGGAGCCAAACATTTTTTCTTAATGGAAGTTAGGTCAAATCGTCTTCTTTTGAGCCAAAGAATGTCGCAGTAGCCTTTTGATCATGTGCTTATGGGACATCCTGTATAATAATGTTTTAAAAAAAAGTTGTTGATATTTCTTATATTAGTGTTAATTCAACATTCAGTCACACTCGCACGAAGGCAGACAGACACACACAGGCTCGCACTATGCGGTATCTTAACAGCACGAGATTAGTACCCAGGCTCTAGCTTAGGCACGAACAAATATACTGATTTCAAATTTTGAGCATGCAATGAATTTGATGCAAAATTTAAACATAAAAACAACTGACCGACCTATCTTTGACAGTTTCCGAGAAAATCGCGCTTTAAAATGTCAAATGTGTCATTTATAAAATCCTTTTGAAAGAAAACAAACGAAGAAAGAGACAAACTCATATGATATCTTTAACTTACTTTAGAAGTACTAAAGTCTGATATCGTAAATAGGTTGCACTTCCGGCACATCCGGAAAATACCGGAAGTCATCTTTAATAGCAAGTAACTGCAATAATTTTAATGGAATGTCCTACAACTAATTGAGAATTCGTATTCTACAAGCAATTTCGAATCATTTTTATGTACACTTCCCTATACCCAAAGTTCGAAGTTTTTGAGATATTAAATGTTTAATGTAAAAATGTCATCTGAACGATGCATAAATGGAAAACGAAATAATCAGTCAATGCATAGATCAGAGGTGCCTAGGAATCTTAATTTTAATATGGTTGCTATGACAGGCTTTTGTTTTTAGACACCATATTTTTATAATTACTTAATTTGACATTTTGCTGTTATATTTCACATTTAGTGGTGGTGCCTATTACTTCTTTTTTATTTAAAATGCCAGTTTTTACTAGCGAACATCAAATCGACATGTTACTAGTGTATGGAGAAGCGAGAAAAAATCGCAGATAAGCAAAAGCTTTATACAGGCGACGATATCCAGATCGTGCACAGTCACATGACAAATATTTTCCTTGGCTTGAACGTGACTTAAAAACAGAAAGACTTGAGGAAGAATCTAACGAGTTTATTGTTGGTGAAGAGGCGGCGATTAATACTCTGGCGTGTATTGAGGTAGATCCAACTACTTCAGTTAGGCAAATTTCTGCTAATATTAGAATTGGACGGGAAATCGTCAGAAAGATTTAAAAAACCACAATTTTAAGCCACATAAGTACCAGGTACACCACCATCTTTATGAAGCCGATCACCAATGGAGAGTGGAGTTTTGTAATTGGTTTATGATGCAGCGCAGCGACGCCCAAATTTAAGTCGGTTTATACTTTTTTCTGACGAATCACACTTCACAAATTTGGGTATGTTCAACAGAAATAATTCAAGATATTGGGCAAAAGAAAATACCCACTTATTTAGACAAGGAGCTTTCCAGGAAAGATTTGGAGTTAATGTGTGGATGGGAGTAATTGGAACGCGCGTCGTTGGACCATTTTTCTTTGAAAATCCACTAACAGCAGACCAGTTTTTAAACAATGAAATAGCTGACTTTCTCGAAAATTTACCAATGAATGAATATTTACGCATTTATTACCAACAGGACGGAGCTCCAGCCCATAATGCCCGAAGGGTAATGGATCATTTAAATCAAAAGTTTGAGGATCGTTGGATAGGTACATACGGACCAATTATACTGCAATATCACTCCCTTAGATTTTTTCTATTGGGGTCACATTAAAGAAGCAGTGTACAGAACACAACCAGCTGATCTACAAGATCTTCGCGATCGGATTACAAGAGCGGATATAACTCCTACTCAAATGGAAAATGCATTAAGGGAATTTAAAAACAGGATTCATTTATGTCTGATCTGTTGCGTTATTCTTTAATTTCTTATCTTTACTGTTACCATGTTTTTTAAAATAAATATTATTGTTATGACTTTGACCTTAATACTAATATTTAAATAGATGCAAATATGGCGTTTAAAAACAAAAGCCTGTCATAGCAACCATATTAAAATTAAGATTCCTAGGCACCTCTGATCTATGCATTGACTAATTATATCGTTTTCCATTTATGCATCGTTCAGATGACATTTTTACATTAAACATTTAATATCTCAAAAACTCCGAACTTTGGGTATAGGGAAGTGTACATAAAAATGATTCGAAATTGTTTGTAGAATACGAATTCTCAATTAGTTGTAGGGCATTCCATTCAAATTATTGCAGTTACTTGCTATTAAAGATTAATTCCGGTATTTTCCGGATGTACCGGAAGTGCGACATTTTTATGATATCAAACTTTAGTACTTCTAAAATAAGTGAAATACATCTTATGACTTTGTCCCTTACTTCTTTTGTTTTCTTTCAAAAGGATTTTATAAATGACACATTTGACGTTTTAAAGCGCAATTTTCTCGGAAACTAATAGGACATAATACATATTTTAGTGTTAGTTTCTTCAGCAGAGTTGAAAATGAAAATAATATACAGTGTTCCATATGAAATAACAAAGTATAGGGCATTTCCGGTCAAACAGGAAGTGACGGTTAGTTATTTTTATGATTAAATATTGCATCAAATTCAATGATACGCATGCCCAAAATTTGAAATCGATATCTTTTTCCGTGCCTAAGCTAGAGCCTGGGTAGTAATCTCGTGGTCAGTCGGTATACAGGGTGTAAATGATAAGTTTAGCCAAATTTTAATGTCAAATTCTACGCTTCCTTACGGAGATATA